AATAAAAGAAAGAATAGAGACAGAAGTATTATTTTCGAATGGGGGAGGGTTGATGATGATGCACGGGTTGGGTTGGAGAGCGGCCGGGAGCCCGGTGTGCTGCGCCCGTATCGGCGCCACGGTTGGGTCAGGTAGCGGAGCGCGAACCCGTGTGATGGGTCCGGATGAGAAGGGCCGGCGCCTCACCTATCCGATGGGTCTTAACCATGGGAGGTGGCGACAGAGCGGCGGGATTGGACAGCGGCCGCGGCGACGCAAGGGGTGGCGGCGACATTGCCGCGCCATCGGGTTCCTCGTCGTGCTGTTCTAGCTGCTGTTGGTGTTGCGTCCACTGGCTGGCGATAAAGTTCCGCTCGTCGCGTACGCTCCACGAGTCTTGCCTAGAGACTGGCTGCGCTGCTCGGCTTCGCGAACGAGAACGGGCTTTCTTGCCATCGCTGGTGCCAGGCCGGAGAGAGCGTCCCTGGCGTTCTCTCTCGTAGTTGGCCTCGCGTTGGCGCGCCAACTCGAGTTGTTGCTCAAGCTGCCTGATGCGCGCTTGTTCCGGCGTCTCGTCTTCGGCTTGGTACTGGCTGAGGAATTGTCCGCGCAGCTGGGGGTTGCTCTTACGTGCGTTTTGACGCTCCTGTTTGAGCCGGGCCTCGGCCTCCTCTTCCTCCCTGCGCCTCTTCTCCTGGGTCAGTTTCCACTGGCGTTCTTCCTCGGCCCACCTCCTTTTTTCCTCTTCCAGCCGCTTCTGTTCTTGCTCCCGGGCGCGGCGGGTCTCCTCCTCCCACCGCCGTTCCTCTTCCAGTCGGGCGCGTTCCTCTTCAACCTCGATCTCGGCCTGCCGTCGGCGCTCCTCCTCTTGGCGTTGCCTCTCAGCCTCGGCTTCTTGTTCCTTCCTCTTCTTCTCCTTCTCGGCGAGGCTGGGGACGTGGGGACCGGCACTAGTGATCTGCCGACGGCCACCAAACGCAATCCCTAGGTTCCCTTGGCTTGCGCCACCCATGTATCCGTACTGGGCAATGTTCCAAGCCGGCGACGTGGCGCCTTCGTGTTCCCTCCTACTCCAGCTGCTGACGGGGGCCGGGGGGCTCGAGGCGCCTTGGGTTGGGGATTTGGTGGGGCTCCAACGGCCCGACCCGGAGTCGCCGGTCCTAGCTGGGACCACGGGGGCTCTGCCGTACACCGACGACGAGTTATTGCTAGAATTGGATGTGCCGCGGCCGCCAAGGCCGGTTGGAGTTGTTGGCCCCGTTGGTTCTGGACTCACCATCCCGGGTCGAGCACTCCGCGGACCGATAGCCACCGGGAATGTCGACGGGTTGGCGCGGTTGGCAGCACGGCTGACGCACCGAGGCATTGGAGACTTGGGCGGATCTTCTGTCGTAGAGGTCGACGTAGGAACATGTCGTGCTCTGAGTGAGGGCGCGCCTGCAGCACGCAGAAGTGTGAGATGTTCTCCATCTGAACGAAGGGCATGGCCGATTTCTTGAATTTAACGCCCGGAGGACCGACGGCGAGGTTGATGAGTCTAGGGACAGTTAGATTTGGACCCAGGTATTAGCTCAGACTACTTACTTGCACAGGGCCACGCCATCCTTCAGCACTTCAAGCAAGTCGCCACCCGGCAACCTCTCTCCAAGCATTTCTTCGATCCATTGCCGTGCCTCGTTCGCAGCGGCAGGCGTGTACTTGTCGAGGCGCATCCTGCGCAAGTCCTTGTCTAAGGACGTCACCGACGCCATGGTAGGAGACTTCCTAGGGAACAACTGCGAGGGGTAGTTTCGGCCGAGTTGAAAAGAAAGAGTGCAGATGCAAATGGCTCGTCGGGCTTCAGGCTTTGGTGGCGTTTAGTTGACGCTGTAATCTCCAATGGCGTCCCAATGGCGAATGGCGGGGTCCGGATCAGCAACTGAGCTGACGCGGCGGCGCTGAAGCAACAGCAATCGGGAACTGTCTGGGTCAATATTACCGACAGCTTGGGAATTTATGGGTTTGTTATTGTCCCTGGCAAGAAGCCAACAGAGTTTGAGAGAACCACCAGGCACGGGGTGGGAGGAATCTTGGTTGTTGTGTGTTGGCAGGGGGGCGCCATTCCAGGTTAATGAGGCACTGAGATCCCTCGAGGGCCCTAAATTACATGTCATTCCAGGCACCCCGCTGCAATTCGACAGCGGGTGCGTGGGGTCTTGGCTTGATTACAGCCACAAATAGCACGGGGGAGGCTGGTGTTGCATCGGATCGTGGCTGGAGCTAGGAAGAATGGCGAGCAGATGCGACGGTCCCTCCCGCCTTGGCGACGACGTCACTGGAGAACAGCTCAAAAAAATATCCACTCGAGCTCTGTCGCGACTTGGGGGGACCACCAAGCAACAATCATCCAAGCCATTCGGGTGTCAACACCCAGACTGCTTCATCCATGTCCCAACCACCAATAACCACGGCCCTACGGGTTTGGTACAAGTGGAAGGCCCTCCGGCTGCCATGGAGACGTCGATTCCTCGTCGGTAGGCACAGAATTTCTATGTTCTACCCCACCACCCTACAAACCCCCAACCCCAACTAACACACCCACTCACTCACTCATCAGGCCTCGACCTAAACGGCAACACCTACTGGGAATTCCTCGACCGCGGCGTGCCCATCCCGCCCCGCGACCGCAACCCCAACCCCCACAACCCCCCGCCCTCCACCTCCACCCCCTCCTCCCCCAACACCCCCCCCATCCGCTGGCGACGCATGGTGGTCTGCCCGCCCGGCACGCACCAAGGCTCGGTCAACCCGCCGCCGGCCTGGCACCAATGGCTGCGGCACACGCGGGCGGACCCGCCCTCGCTGGCCGAGCAGCGGGGCGAGGTGGCGCGGCAGGCGCGCATGCGGGTGCTGGCCGCGGAGGCGGACGCGCGGTGGGAGGCCAAGCCGCGCGTGGCGGGGGACGGGGTGGCGGACGGGATACAGCAGCAGAAGGAGGGGCGGTTGATGGGGGTGAGGGTGCCGCCGTTGGATACGGAGAGGCGGGTGGGGCCGGGGAGTAAGGTTTTGGCCGAGGAGGGGAAACAACACGGGGGTGGGAAATTGGGGGATGATGAGGTCGTGGAGAGGAGGGAGGAGACGTGGAAGAGGATGCGGCAGGAAGCTGGGTCGGAGGGTGGTGGTGAAGGGGGGAAGAAGAGCACAGCCGAGAAGGTCAAGGGGCCGGATCCGTGGAAGCAGGCGAGGGGAGGGCCGAGTGAACAGTGGCAGCCCAAGGGCTGGGAGCCAGCTGCTAAGGGGAAGAAATGAGGTTGAGGTTAATGGCTGTGGGTCAAAGAAATCACCGGAGTCAAATGGATACAAGGACCAAGACGACGTAGCAGGCCCCAGGGTTTGTGGCGTTACGAAATCACCAACCCGGGGACGTATTTATGTACGAAGACTGTATAAGTGGGCGACGGCAGAATGTATGATATCCGGGCGATGCGGGTCACTCCCGGGGTTGTACCTAACGCAACATGCTAGGCATGAATTGCATACCCTCCGCTCAGTTGCTACTTACGGCTAATACTCTTCGAAACGACCCCCGAGATAAACCCAGCGTGGCAAACCCCCTTCCAGCCATCACTTCCCCAGCCTTCTTCTTGAGAATAACCACTAAGGATACGACACCCAAGCCAATGTAGCCTACAAATGCAATGTCAACGGTGCAAAGACCAGCGACGGGTATCAAGAAAAACGCCCAAACCTAAACCCTCCCAACCAACCAACCCACCACCAACACCTTACAAGAAGAACCCGCCCTTTTACTTTCCAGTAGCAGCAGCAGCAGCAGCGAGAACATCAACCAGCGTCCGCAAATTCCTCGCGGACCTCGCCAAGACATCCTTAGCCGCCTTATCGGGCCTGCCCCCCCTCTTATTCTTAATATTGTCCTCGCGGGCCCTGATGCCCTTCTCGACGGCCGCGCGCAGCTCGGGCGAGTACCCGACGTCGATGCGCGAGTAGACAAACCACAGCATGCTCTCGAGGGCGAGCGACAGCTTGGCGTTGTCCTCGGCGGTGACCTTGTTGGCGGCGAAGGGCAGGAAGCACTCCTGCAGCACGAGGACGGTGACGCCCGTGCCCGAGGCGTTCTCCGGGTCGACGTCGGCCGGCTCCGGGTGGTGCCGCGGCAGCATCTCCTCGATGAGCATGCGCAGGAAGGAGACGCGCACGTCGTCGGGCAGGTCCGCGTGGTGGGACTCGACGAAGAGGCGGAACATGGGCAGGGGGAGGCTCCGCACGTGGTCGGCGAATTTTTCATAGAGTTCGTCGACCCGCGCGAAGGTCTCCGGGAGGTAGTAGGACACGGCCGAGAGGAGGCGGAAGAGGCGCAGCCGGAACGAGACCGTCTCGGCGATGTCGTCGGTCAAGACGAACGAGGCCGCAGCCGCCTCCGCCTTCGGTTTCCTCCCGGACTTCTTCCTCTCCTTCAGTGTTGGCACCCTCCCAACCCCGTCCTCCTCCCCGCCCGATTCATCGAACTCATCCCCGTCCAGATAATCCCCAAACTGATCATTCTCCAAATCCACCGCCACATCCTCCCCCCTCTTCCTCTTGCCCTTAGCACCACCACCAGCCCCAATCACCGTCTCCCTCTCAAACACCTCCCGAAACACGGCCCGATCCGACACGGCATTCTCCCCATCCGTGAAAGCAAACAACCCGCGCAGCACCTCACGCAGAGCATTCCTACGCTCGCGCTTCAGCGCCAGCAGATAGCCCACCAACAAACTCTGCGCCAGCGCCGGGTACGCCGGCGGCATCACCGTCTCCCCCTTCCCCTTCCCCTTCCCTTTCCCACCACCCCCACTCCCACCACCTCCAACCCCCGCCTCTCCCTCTCTTTTCTCCCGCCCATCCCTAGCAAGCCGCTCATCCAAATCTGCCTCCAGCACGGCCACCACAAACCCCAGCCACACGCGCCAGTGGCGCCACCGGCGCGGCTGCTCGGCCGCGCACCGGAACGCCCAGCCCAGCACGGCCCAGAAGTCGGGGGCGCGCCGGAAGAGCAGCTGCGAGCGCGCGAACGGCCCGCTCAAAGCGGTGTCGCTGCTGCTGCTGTCGTCTTCGGAGTCGCTGGCGGGGTTGGGGTCGTTTTTATTACTGGTGGTGGTGCGGGGGCCGCCGCTGGTTCGGGTGGTTTTGTGGGTGGTGGTGCTGCTGGTGGTGGTCGGGGTGTTGTCGCCGAATTGGAAGGCGGCGCGGAAGTTGGCGTTGACGGCGCCTACTGTGCTGAGGAGGCCGCGCAGGTAGGAGAGGGCGTGCGAGGCGGCGTGAGTGTTGCTTATTTCGGGGGGTCGGGAGGTGAAGGAGGGGTGGATGATGAGGGTGGTGAGGAGGGCGATTTGGGAGGGTGGCGGGATGAGGGCGGGCTTTGGTTTGAGGTTTCGGGCTGGTAGGTGATGGGGATGTTGGAGGGCGGTTGTGCTGTTGCCGTCGTTGAGGAGGCCTGAGAGAATGTGGATGGCGGCGGTGTCTGTTGAGGGAGGTGGGAGAAGTTAGAATGGTGCAGACAATTTGAGAGCATGGGAGGAAAACCGACAGAGTTGTTCTTCTAGGTGGATTTGGCAGTGCGACTTCAATTCGTGAGGCAATGAGACTGCGTCACGATATGTCGGTTCCTCGGGCGGGGGGTCCTCGACGGGACTGCTAAGAGTGGTGTCATCGGCGGCATTGGACGGCGAGTTCCTCGCTGTGTAGAATGATTCAGGTGTGGATATGCTGCCTAGTGTTGTTAGGGGTGAAGTGAACTCCATGCTGGAGCCAGCAGAGCACTCTGCGTCGCTTCGTACGGGGAACAGAGTGTGGCAGTTTGGTTTGATGTTTGAGGGACGGGAGCAAACTACAAAGTACCAACCGCCCGTTGGTGGTGGGTTGCGGGCCCTAGACGCTGGCGGACGCCAACCCAGCGCGCTCTCACGCGACTAGTGGGGCTGTTCTCGCGATTTAGCGCGGGCTGGACTCGAGATGGTGGGCCTCAGCAGGGGTTTTGGTTGCACATTGTCTCGACATCACTGAAGCATGAACAAGCCCGACCTTAGACGTCGTGATCGTCACCCACCTTCCCCGATTTTCATCTAATTCCACCAATTTACCTATATACCTAGGTATATGTATATTCTATTAATTTGCCAGTAACAACATCACCATATATCGACACCCTTCAATTCAACCTCGAATTATCGGATTAACATGACTGCATCTGTATAACCTGACCAACTCGTTTAAATCATCAACTCTCCCCTTACTTCCTCAACTTCAACACGATCCATGCTGCAATACGGTACCCGACAATAATGCCCATCATGATCCCGATATCCTTCCCCATGTATCCTGGCTTGTAGCCGTACTGGTCAAGGACGCCCTGCCCGCGGATGAGGCACTGGTCCGCAAGGTCCGTCTGCCACATGCCTGTTTGCCGTTAGTCTTTTTAGAAGGAGGCAGAGGGTGAGGAAGGGAAACCTACATTGACATCCCGTTGCCGTGCTCGCACAGCTGTACACCCGCTCACTAAACTCGTTCACCATCATATTCTCAAACACGTACTTCTGGTAGTCCCAGTAGTGGAAAACGTATCTGTAAAACACGTTGAGCACGGTTGGCGGTACCATGAACCCGTTGACGCTCATCCACAGGCCGTTGGCAAAGGCAATCAGCGCGAGCGAGATGACAAATGACGGGAACAGCGACGTCAGGAGCACCACCAAACTCTCCGCTGCGAGCAGATCCAAGAACACCCAGAGGACCCAAGTAAAGAAAGCTTGGGCTGTGGGTTGCAGGTTGGAGAGCCAGTACGAAATGGCCGAGAAGACGAGGGCGATGATGACTGAGGGATGCCGGTTAGCACCATCGGACACAAAACGGGAGGGGAGAACCCACAAAGGTATGGGATGCCAATAAGGAAGTTGGAGATGATCATGGCGGTCGAGCCGTAGAGCCCATTCCGCTTTTCCTTGATGAACTGCATGTAATCCTCGAGGTAGGCAGGGCTGTAAGCGCACGCCATGAACGACATGAAGGCAGAGCCACTTTGGCACGTTAGCGGTAATCCGGCACCATCAGGAGGTGGGAACACATACTAGAAAATGGCGTTGGTGAACGGGATGATGGACTCTTGCGAAGCATCCAGCCTCAGCCAGACGGTGCCTATCATGATAGCGAGCCCTGCCAACGAGGTGGTGAGTTAACTCTTCCTCAACAGAACCCAGGGGGGTGCTCACCGGTATACATCGCCAGTCTGATCCCATACACGACCACATCACGGTAGCTCTTGACGAAGCTCCGGTGCATCAGCGCCAACACCACACTCGGCAGACCAGGCTTCATTTCAGCTATGTCGAGCTCGAGAGCCCCCGACCCCTTTTCCTCAACAGCCGCTACCGCAGCAGTGAGTTCCTTACCTCCCCGTGAGTTATCCCAAGCAGACTGCATTTCATGCAGCCGCAGCGTCGCCGAGTCGCGGTCCTGCGCAAAATCCGTGTTGACCATCTCGAGGAGAAACTCGGCCGGGTTGATGTGTATGGGCATGGGATACCCAATCGACTCGTAATGGCCTGCCACATCCTTCACCGGCCCAAAGTAATGCGTCTTGCCATGTGACATCAGCAGCACCTTATCAAACAGGTTGAAAGTCGCCGTGCTGGGCTGATGAATCGACGCGATGACAATCAACTGCCATTCTGTCAGTCACCCCCTTTTCCCCGCCTCTCCTCCATCACCCTCAAAAACAAGAGAAGCCAACAAACAAACAAGCACACCAAACCCCAAGCCAAAAAAAAAAAAAAAAAGAACGCACCTTCTCTCTTCTCTGCACCCCCCTCAAAAAACTCACCACCTCCCCCCCCGCCAACGAAATCAACCCGCTCGTCGGGTCATCCAGCACCAACACCCTAGGGAGGCCCTCTCCCTTTCTCACCAACTGATACGCAGCACCCAACCGCGTCTTCTGCCCACCACTGATCCCCCCGCGCAGCGCCGTGCCCACCAACGTATCCGCCTGCGCCCTTAGCCCAAACGCATCGATCAGCCCCTCCACGCGCGCGGCGCGCGCCTGCCGTGATGAGTTGCCCCTGCCACTAGAAGAAGAGGAGGAGGAGGAGAGGCGGGCGGTGAAGGCGAGGGTCTCGCGCACGGTGAGCGCGCCGACGAGGGAGTCGTCCTGCTCGACGAAGCGGGTGACGGAGCGGAGGGCGGTGCTGCTGCTGCTGCTGCTGCTGGAGGCGGAGTGGCCGTTGAGGAGGATGGTGCCGCTGGTGGAGAGCGCGGAGGGCGTTGGGCGGGTGGCGAGGTGGTTGAGCAGGGTGGTCTTGCCGCTGCCGGAGGGGGCCGAGGATGGCGAGGATTTCGCCTGTGGGGAAAGGGGGGGGTTAGTTAACTAGTTGGGTAGTTGGAGGTGTGAAAAGGGGGGGAGG